ATATCCGAATCCAGTTAATATCTAGTTTTCCCCACTTTCACGGGTCAGCGCGCGCAAGCGCCGAGCTCCTGCGTGGACAGAGGAAAAATGATCCATCGTGTATTACATACATTGTTGTAAGAGACCCGTGTGTAAGAGCGACATAATTTCAAAGATCCTCGAGGCAATTCAACTTGTGTATAATATACGTGAAGTGGTCTTTGCCCGAGAGCTCTCGTGTATCAATCAATCGTCGTCGTCGACGTCGGACGCTAGCTGACACCGTCGCTGTTACAAGACTGCGAGAACGTCCGCATGGTTTTAATGCGACCTCGATTCGAGCTTTCTCGCGTATATATATTAGAAATAATATATAAGACAAGAGAGAGAGAGAGAGAGAGAGAGAAAGAGGGAGGGAGAGAGAATCCCGAGAAGCTGTGCAAGGCCATTGGAGATGGTCCAAGACGATGACGCTGGTACGCAGCAGCAGGCTACACCCACGCGCTTGAAACATGTCCGTGCACATTTGCTACGAGGCATTGCGGTTCTGCACGCGATTAAAGACTTTAATGCAATTTAGTATGTAGCATCGAGGATTGGTCTAAGAATGCGAATGACATTGCCGATCATCCGTGGTAATTGATCGCACACGCTCCCTCTGGAATATTAAATTTATTTTTGCATACATGCTATACGCGAAAAAGTGAAATTTCGTATAACTTTGGAAGATGTTTGCTCGCGAGCACGTGTGCTCGGAGCTCAGCTCGTTTTTTTTTTCAATAATATATATTCTTCGAACGAGGTCGCGATATTGTCCGAAGTAGGGCATAACTAACGAAAAGCATGTGGAACACATCGCGGAGCTAGCAATCCCTCTCCAGTGAAATTCTCGCGCTGCATTTTATTCGGTACTCTACATATGATATAAGCTCGTCGGCGAGCTAGCGACTTTCGCTGGACATTGGCGCACACGCGTTTAGTGCTCGAAAAATATATCCCATCTTAAAATTTCTCTTCAAAAAAAGTCCGTCGTAAATCATAAGTAGTTTTGGGAAAGCAGCTTTACGGGATTGCGATTGGATGTTGTCCTTAACCAGTTAATTGTGAATTTTCGTATGTTTTTTTTCATATGAGTCAAGTTACAATGATGCAGATTTGTTTTTTACAATCTAGGACTGAAAAATTATAAATACCAAACTTTGTGTAAGAAGGACTCATCAGAGTATTTCTGATTGTTGCTGTCGACAACTGTACCGAATTTCAGCCAACTTTATTCAGTTGTTTTACTAGAAAACAGAATTAAAATCGTTTAATAACGTTTTACGAACAATTATGTGCTACACATTGCACTAATTCCAATAATATTAAACTTACTTTAAACCTAAAAATAGCAAAAATCACAATGTACAAAATGTAATAACCAATGTAATAAGCATAAAACATTTCAATGCGATAAAAAGTTAAATTTTCAATGGACTATTCTATAATTTAGCGTCATATTCTAGTTTGTTCCGCGAACTATTATAAATGAAGTTAAAGCTCAAGTAAAAGTTAAAGTAGCAAATTGAAAAGGTCTGAGCAGCTTGTCATGCTCTGCAATATCTTCAGCAATACATTTTATAGTTAGATCATTGATTCTAGATCTCGCATCGTCAACCTGCAAGCGGTCAAGTTCTACTTCGAATACATAAGAAAAGGTTTTTAGCTCCTTTTAAATGAAATTTTGTTATTTCGTAATATCCACGATTTTATCGTGGCGTGGCCAAAGTGACTTGATAAAATTATCGCGTGCATTTTAAAATCGAGTTTATACGCGACGTTTTATTCGATTTTGTAATATTCCATTTGAGCGAAATTCTAAAACAGGGACGAATCGTCAAAAGCTTACCCTCGAATTGCCACGCGCGCGGCAACAGCAGTGCTGGTGGCGGCCTAAAACCAATTTCTAGGTACCTATACATACGGAATCGAACAAATTTGACGTACGTGCCTATGCGTACGGACCTGTATGTTCGATCGATCACCGCCGCGCAAATCTACGTACGACGGCAAACAGGGAAATCGTACGCCTAGTCGAACCGCAAACTCGTTCTCTCACCCCCACACTGTCTCTCTTCTATCTCTATCCCTCTCTCGGTATCAATCGAATTAGTAGGCATTGCAGGCATTGTTTTCCTTTAATTTCTCGGCTCGGCTTCGCCACTATCCGACGCTCTTTCTCTTTTTTGCACCGCTGCTGCGCGTTTAACTTCGCATACTAAACCACGACGACGCGCGACTGGTATACGCGCATGTGACTGCGCCTGTCTCTCATGCTCTGTGCATTGTGCGCGTGTGTACATACACCCGCGCGCAAAACGCGTGGAATGGATATGTCTATACAAACACAGGACAATACTTCGCGTGCTCCATCTACAGGTATGTGTTTGTGTATGTGTGTGTGCGCGCGTATCTGCGTGCTCGCGACAGACGGATTGATGCTGCCTCGTTGGCTGACTGTTGCAGAGTTAGCTCTATTTGCCTCGAGTGAGACCTGTATAAAAGTCACGTCTCGCGATCTGACTTGCGCTGGCCCGCGCCTCGTGGCTACGATGCTTTTCAATTTTATCTTGCTGCATTTATATTATTTGGTATTTATAAAAGAAAATTGTGCTACTCAATGGACACAGGAGAACCAAAAGCTTTGAATGCTATGACACGAGACTTTATGAGATTGACATTTTTTATCACAACAGTAATTTAATAAGACCACATGAGTACCATTTATTTCTAAGAACAAGCATTAAAGATCACGAAAATTCTAAAAATAAATCATAAAATTGAGCATTTTATTCCATATGAGAATTGAGAATTTTATTCCATAATATTTTTCAAAAAAGTTAATGTTTATCGAAGAAAATTTAATTGGATTTGTGTATTGACAGTGTAAAATGCACTTAAAATTAAACTATACAAATCCCTTTCTTCGAACTTTAGAAACATTATAGTTAAATATTCGATTTACCTGAGCCAAAAAGGGAGTCAAAATTTCGAATGATTTCGACATATTCAAACGCGGAAATGGTCGTATTTACTGAAAATAGTATATTAATGCCCTAGGCCGCGAAAAATAGAAAAACAGAAGAAAAACATAAAACTCGGCTTCGCCTTGGCCACTAATTACACGTACTCTGGGGCTTTCTTTTTTCGCGGCATAGGCCTGTATACTATTTTTCATACACAGTGGCCCGAAAATCGCTCTTCCCGCTTTGCGCAGCGGCAGGAATGTAGTCAGTTTCGGGCCGCTGGTATGAAAACGCGATTTTTCTTCCTTTGAAACCAAACACAGCCATAAACAAAATACCTGTGAAAATGTCCAATTACATTACCCACATTGAGAGACAAAAAATTTCAATGGTAATTTCAGCCTCAAATTTTGAGGTTTTTTTTTATAGAATTCTGAGCTCGTGCTCGCGGATTTACCTCTTCTATGCATTATTAGATTTTTCTATTATAAATATTAATTTTAAAAAATTTGATATGAAAAACGTATATAGAATTACGGGTTTTCTGGGTCAGTGACGACTTCCACGCACGCTCTTGTTTGCATAAGATAACCTACATGATGATTGGAAATTCGAAACGCGCACGCTTGCATTCGCTCGCGAGGTAATGCAATTTTTTTCTGCTACATGTGCATTGCGTAAAAACAATTTTACAGAATAAAATACGTCGATGCTCGTGGTGTGTAGTTTCGAATCAGAGACGCGCACGCTTTCATTGTACACTGGGCGTTACGTTCATTTTATTTTCTATACATAATTTCAAACCAATGCAGGGAAAAAAAAGTAAAGAGAACGAAGCTATCGTGATACGCATAAATACGAAGCCATCGTTCGAGCATCATCTAATTAGCGCGGAAATTCAATGCGCAATTGCGACGGCGATTCTCGAGAACACGACTCAAGGCTCGAATTGCCTCGTTTCTTTTTCCTGATCTCCCCGTGGTCTCTTTTCAATTCAATGCCTTGAACCGCACGCGGCACGCATATGAGGCAGGTAAAATCTGAATAACATGGCAAAACGTCAAGATGTTCAACGTATATAATGCAATATACATTGTGAATATAGCAGGAATCTTGTGGCAGGTCGCGGTGGTGGTGGTGGTGGAGGGCTCCGAGGCTTTCCCGCTTTCACGAGCCATTGGCGCATATCGTGCAGCGGCAGCACAGTGGCTACATGCTATATAATATTGCACACGACGAAAGAGTAAAGCCACGCAAAAATTCAGTTTATTCTCTATGCACATACAGAGCATGAAGACGAGGGAGGCAAAAGTATAGAGAGACGACGACGAGGCAACTCGCTCTGGTATTCACTAAAAAGAAGCCGATATATGCACACACACACAGTTGACTCGTTTCTCTGCTCTGCTTCGCAATATATACGTGTGTGTGTGTGTGTGTGTGTGTGTGTGTGTGTGAGCATGTTTGAAGAAAAGCTCGACCCAAGCGAAACAAAAGAGGCTCGCGCGCGTGGTCCACTCGACATTACCTTTTCAGCTTTACACATGCACACACAGCAGAGAGAGAGAGTCACAGGCTAGTGTGCTTTATGTTTGTATATGTATCGTGTGCCTACAGCGCAAACCCCCTTCACCGCTTCTTTTACTTCAACTCTTTTTTTTTTCACCTTTGTCTCCTCCGCCCCCACCCTACCTCTTCATTTTTCGGCAGGTTGGCGTGTAAAGCCCGAAAAAAGAGAGAGAGACTTTAGCCCCCCTTTTCCAAAAGAAATAGCATTAAGTCTTTGAAGTAGTGCGCGCGGACACGTTAATTTCATTTCCTAAATTGAAACCGCAGCACGCACGCACGTGGTCAATTTACTTTTATAAATGAAACGAGAGCAAAAAGATCAACTATTCGGGTCCTCGCCCGAATCCGCTTAAAATATATTTATGTAATACGGCGATATCAAGAAACGAGAGGGAGAAGTTGGTATGTACATGAAAAGTACGAACTGCATCTGTATATAATATGTACCTGTTCTGCTGTTCGTCGACTTTGCTTGTGCTGCTAAAAGTCGCCGATACTCGCTGCTGCTGATTTTGGCAACGGGCCGCTGCGGCCTGCTCGGCCCGTCGCACTGCTCACCGAGCCTCGGCGCGGCTGCTCTCCTCTTTGCGCACGGTGCAGCCCTGCTGCTGCTGCTGCTCTATGTTAGCGGCACAGGCCTTTTTCGAAGGTTCCCGCTCGATCTGTCCTGCCTTTTGACTCTGCATCACAACACGCTTCGAGCTCGAGCTGCAAGCACAAGGACAAATTCAAAGTTAATTAAACTCATGCACACGAGACTGGAGATCTCTTAATTAAAAAAATAATCATAATAATAAAATAAAAGAGTAAAAGTTTTTTAATAAACTGCAGTACGCTCCGGTTGACACATCTGCCTCTGCCTCTGCATGACTGCGCACACACACACACACACACATACCCTTCATGCTCACGCGCCTCACGACCCTCCAAGGTTAAATAGTCATTTTATAATAATAGCCGCGCGCACGAGCGGCTGATAAATCACGCTGCGAACGCGTGCAGGGTTGGAAAGCTTAGTCGTCGTAGACGCGGTGAGCGGCCGAGGCTTTAATTCGAGCTCGTTTGTGACCCCCTTTTCTTGCCTTTCTTTTTTTTTTTTACTTCTTTTAAGCTTCGCTACACACGTAGGGCTACGCAGTAGTAAAGCGGCGGTGGCAGACGTGCGCCGCCACGCGTACGCAGGCCAACCATTCGCATTCAAAGTACGTAATATCCTCCTCGGTCAACGATTGACCCACATAAATGTGTATATAAAAGCGCGTTTTAAACGAGGTCATAATTGCAGGGCGCTTGAAATCTTTGCGCGTATACACAGTTTGCGATTGTTCGAGTATGATCGCGCGGCAGCGACGACGACGAATCGTATAATACGAGCTTCAAATATATCCGATAGGAATTTCTCCAGGGTGCAATCGCGTAAAAGTTTATTTTTTGGCCTGAATTATGCAACTCATCCTGGTATATAGCACAAGATAAATAATGTAACTTTCGCGGTTTCGACGCGGATAAAATTTCTAGATCCTAAAAGTTCATCGTCGTCGTTGCACGGAAGGGTTCTCCCTTATTAAGCTCTCGCGCTCGGAAAGCGTCGGTCGCCGCGGTTTAATATACATAGGTATATATATAACATAAAGCATCGCGTCCCTACGGAGAAAAGCCCAGGGAGCTGCCGGGAGAGAGAGAATATGCTTTTAACGAAGATATTTCACAAGATATTATGTACATGGACGCGCACGCGTGTGCGCACATGCTCGACAAATACGTATATACAGCGTCACGTCGAGCAGCGGTAGTCTGCGTGTGTGCCCTGTGCATGCGAAAAGCGAGTGTGTTGTAAGGGACAAACGATGTATTACCGCGCGGCCAGCAGCAGCAGCAGCAGCAGCGAAGCCAACAGCAGAGCTCCGAATAAATTAACCGTTGGTGCTGCCGCTGCAAGGTAGTGAGCTTTTGCGAGCAGCGGGACGTATACGTACACTAGCGTGTACCGAAGGATTACACGACGATGTAATTTGTTGATAATGAATATATTAAGGGGATAGAGCGAACGGGTATAAAGCTCGAAGGAATTTCCGTGCGCACACAAAAGTACTTATCCACGCGCGCGATGTTTTCCCAATTATGCCATCGCGCTCGTCGATACATGTACATAAACGCGTATTAGTGAAGACGCAACAGCAGCGCACGCGTTATATATAGGTACGCGCAGAACGATCCAATTAAGTAATTCGACGAGGAGAGAGAGAGAGAGAGCTTGCGGTTCGATTATAATCGAATACTAAATCAAACCGGCGCCCATAGGTACAGATATATAGAATGCGCCGTCCTGGGGAGTTTAAAGTAACAAAGTAATCGTGACTGGCAGGGATAAGTCCGCAATCGAGCGTGTAATCTCTCCCGCCTACCCACCCTAAATCTTGTCTAACGAGCGATTATATATGAATTACGCGAGGCAGGGCAACGACTTGAAACTTTTGCTTCTCTCTCTCTCTCTCTCTCTCTGTCTCTCGCGGGTGCATGGCGGGCTCGCCGAGGGACGACGAGAATGACTCAAGCTGCTGCTGCAAGCTCCTGTCTACTTGATCGTGTCAACCCAGAGCAAAGGAGTAAGAGAGGCAGAGAGAGAAAGGATGAGCTAAAGAGCACCTGTCTGTTTTTGAAACTTCGAAGTACGAAAGATGTATGGTACATATAATTGAACGCTGTCTGGAGTGGATTTATAGCAGCGGTAGAGATGCTTAATATTTATAATTACCCAATAACCAAAACATGAAATTTTTAATTGACCTGAATCTGACAATTTGATTGTTTCAAAAACTTCAGACCAGAGTTCATCCACTTTTTGTACAAATAGTACTGCTTTCAACGCTAGATGGCGACGTACTTTTATCTGTAAATCTGCAAGTGGGAAAGTCAAAATAATTGTATATCAAGTGTATATGTAGAAGTGTATATTAAAAACCTAATTATATATATGCATGCCCCCTGCAGGCCTTTGTAAAAAGGAAGGTTAATAAATAAATAAATAAATAAACAAATAAATAAATAAATATAGCAGAGTTTGTGGTGGTGCACTTCCGTTCGTTAAAAATAAAATTTTAAGCATTGCTATCACAGAGTCAATATTTTCATGAAAAATGGTTAAATAATAATTATTACGCTTTACACATCTGGAAAACCCATAATAAATATAATATGCTTACGCATACGTGTCTTTCGCGCGATATCGCGCCTCGAATGTAAACGAATGAATATGTATGTAACGTTGACTTGGACGCGTTGGGCCATATTCGGTTTAATTTATATATCTTGACTGAGGGAGCAGTGCGAAACGACGCCGACGACGACGACGAGTAGATCTAATAGCTCTGTTACGTGAAAAGAGCGAGACAGAGAAAGAGAGAGAGAGAGAGAGAGAGAGAGAGAGTAGCGCCCTACGCGAGCTGAGCGTTGCCTCAGACACGTCATATTTTCCGCAAGACACAGAGAGGAAGGTAATGTATGAGTAAAATCGCATTAATCTTCGTCCTAAAGGTAAGATGTATGTGCGCAGTCACCTCGCTTTCTCATGCTTTATACTGCACACGCACGAGCATACATACACAAACTCTGCACATATCCTCTCTCTCTCTCTTTCTCTCTGCACGAAGACTCGAGTTATTATTCTACGTTGGTTCGTCGGCAATTAAATTAATACGGGATAAAATATATATTCTTGCATAAACTTTTTAAAATTATAAGCGTAAAATAGAGGAGCAAAGAAATCTTTGGAAAACAGTCATAATGCAGCGCGAGAGGAAAAGCAGTGTGAAAACAAGGGAAAAGAGCTTATAAAATTTAGCAGCCATTTGCTGGGCACTTTTCTATTTTTGTTCTCGCATACTCTCCTTTCTTTCGTTACCCGCACTCTCCTTCTCTTCTCTCGCTTATTTCGCTCTCTCTTTCTCTTTTCGAGCCATCAGCGGCAGGAAGAGGGAACGAAAAATTGGATTACCTCACGGAAAGTCGCACGCGCGCGCGCGCTTCACTGCTGCCACGATGATGAAGAGGCAAAAAGGATAAGTGCAGCGAAAAACGAAGAGAAGGAGAGGAAGAGAGAGAAAGAGAGAGAGAGCAAGCAATAGAAAAACGAAGCTCAGTGGCGTTTACTATGTGAGAAATATTGATCGACGACGTCGGCCTTTTCTGTCTTTCTCTCTGGCACATCTCTATACCTCGACTATCTACGCGCTCCTTTATCGGGCGGGCTATCTGTTATTGGCTCGAGATAGGTGAAAGTTTTTTCTCCGTCTCCTTCTTTTTTGTACTTCGGACTTTTGGCAACTTATTGACTCGTTAAATTGTCCGAGATGGACGAGTTCTTATTGTCACACGCCATGTCAAAATCAACAGATTATCAGCGAGCGTAATTTACATCGAGGAAAAAAAATGCGGTAATCCGCGGGATAAAAAAATTTTTTTTTAATTTTTTTGACGTTCATCCGCGAAATGAAAAGACGTGAAAAATGCGAGGTAATTTTTTCAACGAAACTTCTCTTCTAAATCATCCCAAGTATTACCGGGGGGCAAGGCAAAGCGCGCACGAAAGCTCCATACGAGAAAAGCTCGGGGATCTATAAACGCGGACTTTTAGCTGCTCTCGAGACTGTCAATAATATAAAATACGAAACGTATAAGTCACCGCGAAAGAGCGAAACCAATTAAAGAAAAACATAACGAACGTACCGGGCGTAAATAACCCGTTATAACTGCTGCTGCTGCTGCTGTTGGAAAAATATGTTTGCTTTCTGTCTTCTCGCCCGCCCGCAACACACTGCCGCCACTGTCCGTTAAAAAAAACAGAGTCAGTCGTGGAGTGCGATATCGATTTCCGAAGGAAAAAAATTTCTCCTAACAATAATTAAGCTTTGTTTTCGCGCTGTTATTTTCCTCGGAACGCAAGGAAAAGGAGCTCGAATTATAATCTTTTTGTCAATTGGCAATAAGCGTGTACCGCATATAACGCGCGTAGAAAAAAAAGAAGTAAACTCAAGAGTGGAGAGACCGAATTCTCTGCAAGCTCGCTCGAGGTAGAAAAGAATCCGCTGCACGCTCGCTTCGCACATACATACAATGGCATTTTCGCGCACACACACACAGGTGTACCGCACATGTTCTCTCTCTCTCTCTTTTCCTCTTTCACCGTGTATAGTGTTCCGATGCCTCTGCGCGACGCGAAATGAAAATTGTCTTCTTCGCAGATATTGCTCGAGACACGTCGATCGGTTTAGGATTATTTCAAAGAGAGAGAGAGCCCTCAAACGCGCTGCTATATACGTGCAATCACGGCAGCTCGTCATTTTTCTCCCTTTTTTCATTCTTTCTTGTCAATACGTCATACAGAGCGAATTATAAATTTTTTCTTTTCTCTTTTTTAGACAGTGGTATTATGTATTATATATCGATGTCACGTTGTATCGAGAGGTTACGTTTTACGCTTCGCAAAAACACGGTGTATTACATTCCATGGCGATGATGAAAATATGGAGAAAGAAAGGGGAAAAAAGAAAACTATTCAAACGGTCGTCGTGTGCACACAGACACGCGGACGCGTACATAGCCCTCGTCGTCACAGACAAAACAGATAGTTAAGGAAAGGCAGAAGAAGCAAAAAAAAATCAAGAAAGGAAAGAAAGAATTACGAAAGGTACAGCGCGCGAATAAAAGCT